TAATTTTGAGCTACCATACCGTTTACTAAAAAGCTGTTAGCATCCTGGTGCGTCACAAACTCAACTGAAACTCTATTTCTCCCCAGCCGTTTGACACCACCGATCTTAACATTATTAATGTTTAGTTTCATTAAGAACATACCAAACTTAACTGGGTGAAGCGTGGTGCCAGACGTCTGGGAGTCCTTAAGAGACACATAAACTACGTATGGGGGATTATCCCTGGCCGTGTAACATTGTCTACTATTTACACTTTTTGCCAATTTCGGGGGGTTGTTCTGGGTGATAAGGGGGGAGCCGGCGGGTCGTTTCCGGGATTTTGAAACTTCCGCGTCCATTCTTTCGATATCCGGGGAGGTGGGAGGAAGGGTAATTGTGACGATAGTTTCCGTCTCATATTCCGGGGATTTATCGGGATCGGGAGGATCGGGTGGCTTCACCTCGTCCATTTTGAATTAAAAAGATGTGGGCAGAGGAAATAATACAATAAAATATACTTAAAACACCAATACCTGATTAAAACTTACACACACATACACTTACACAACACAAAAACACAAAATTTAAAAGATTTCAATTCAGATCACTATAAAATAGCTCACTTAAATTGAAAACAAACGTAGGAATGACAAAAGCACGTGCGTAACCTTCACCACTACCAACGAAAGTCCCTAGAAATCTTAATAAACGTATAAACAAACAATTAACTTGACATAATGGCATTTGACCTCTGTCAAACACGACGTTCGGAAATTGTAAAATATTTTATGAAATTACAAAACTAACTAGTACCTCTTTTGGTTGCAGTAATACGATTATGTCACTTTACATAACCGTAAACACCATTCTTGACCTTTTTTTGCTTAACCAATATATCTTAACAAAATATCAAAGCCTTAATCGTGCAGACAAAGGTAGAAAAATATTTTAAAAATGGTTTAGTTTTCAGACGTAATCATTATACATTCAATTCGTTCACTTGGGTGCTTCTCTATTTTACATCAGCATGACGTCACTAACGAATTTGATTCGAGCTCTCGAAAGGCGATACGATAGGTTTCGTGCTGCGACATTCCGTTTTCGTCACATGACGTTTCGACGTCTCGATACTATTACGTTACGAATGCGATAGTTATTCGTGCTAGGCACACAGAACCTTTAAACTTGAATACGAACAACGTTTTAACAAAAATAACATTAATATGCTGTAGTCGTATTTAATCATAATCCGTTAAAGTTGAACAATCAGGTCTATATTTTCGAAATAAATAATACCAAAACTCTTTTAATAATATAATTTTTAATTAAAGCTTCAACTTTTTTATTAACCATAATTGCTAATATCTCCTAGCATCACACACCAACTGGTATTTCTCAATTAATCTAAAGGTCAAAAAACCATTCATCTCGTGATATCTTTTAATTCTGTGTTCTCGTTGATCTCTTCATCTTGTTCCTTCATATCATCAGGTGTATCGTATATATTACCTTGCAATTCTATTTGTATTTCTCTCAAACTTTTTCCTTTAGTTTCTGGAACGATTACGTAAGTAAATATTGCTCCCGTGAACGCCATGACAGCGTATAACCAAAACACTCCGTACAGCCCTGTCCAGTCCTCCATAGGTTGATACCCTTTCACTACAATAAAAGTCATGAAAGCAGAGTAAATATTTAACACAGTCATTGCAACTGATCTTACGTTTAAAGGAAAGATTTCTGAAGGAATAATAAATATTAGAGTATCAAAGCCTACACTAGATATGACTATAGAAATGACAATTCCTACAAATACGACGAAACGGAATGGGTTTGAGGATTCATCGTCGATGCCGATGATTTGTTGGAGGAAGAAGTAGCCTCCGACCATCGCCAGCATCACGCAGGAGCCCAAGTAGGAGTAGATGAGTAGTGGACGACGCCCCACCTTGTCTACGATCATTGGTGAAATCAAACCTGGAAAGAGGAAAAAAAACAATAAGCATCTTCGAAATTTGCATAGAAACTTAACACCCATATATCTACACCATTAGGTATACTCCGATGGGCATAAACATTTCCTATATTTGTAAAATATCTATCGTGAGATATACTAAATTAGCGCAGCCTACTCATCGCGACGTCGCCGCGACCACAAAAGTTGCTCATGAGGAAGAACCCCTCTATTGTTCGAAACTAGTAGAGCTTTTCTCAGTATATTCACGTGAGTAACCCGCGACTTTTATTTATTTTAAAAGTTTCAAAGGTAACCTGAAATTTTCCTAATAACTTGTCAATGTACACAATGGTGTACATTGACAAGCCAGTCAGCAGACCAGATCCCTGGACAGGTGATCCAACCTCTGTCGACCTGGTATAAGTTCGAAGCAATAAACTAAAACTCTCACGATCTCATTTGCATTCATGAATGCTCAAGTCAGAGCTCTTGGAGTTAGCATTAGCGCAATAGTTCCCGCAAGGTAAAGTCCAATGCATATTTGATCACAAGTTAGTTTGTTCTTACCGACTGCAAATCTCACTGCTCCGAAAATAATGAGGGCCGTCGAAACTCGTAAGCCACAGTTGCTTTGTTGAATGATACGACCCATGTACTGTTGTATGGGGATACTGCCAGCGAAGAGTTGAGTGAAACGAAGACCTAGAATTGAAAAGCAATTGATTAAGCAAAGGTTATTAATAATATAATGTCTGATTTAATGATGTATGTAACTTGTATTTTATTTCAAAGTAATCTTGTCTATTTTAAAATGTCTTTTATTTTTATTTATTTATGTCTTGTAACATAAAAGTAGGTATGGACAGAAAAACTTTTTCTTTCCACTTTAAAGAATAGGGTACGGCATGCACTGTGCAAGCACTATATGAGTCATAACATATTTGTTAAAAAAGTATTAATTGCACTTAACATAATTTGCCGACCATTTTGAAAAGAGATGTTATATTTTTATGTACAACTAGCTTCTGCCCGCGACTTCGTCCGCGTGGAATAGTGACTGCCAGTTCTTTCGAGATTTTTGGGTTAAAAACCATTCTATGTCGTTAGCAACTGTTTAGGTAGCGCACGCTTAATAAACATAATACCGGCCTTATCCCTGCGCCCCTCCCGCCTTGGCAATAGGTACTCACTTCGAAACGGGCCGTACAGAAAAAATCGTAATATTTTAATTTCGCCATAACTTCAAAACCAAACATCCGATTTTAATCATTTAAAGACCGAGTATTATCTACATAAACTGTATTTGCAGTGTATGATGAGCGGCTTATATTTGTATTTAAGTGCAACATTTACTAATGATAATGATAAACTAACTGTATATTACCAAAATTGCAGGGGAATTCGCACCAAATTGCACATTCTTTACATGAATATCTTGGCGAATTGCTATGATATCATAGTGTTGACTGAGACCTGGTTGACACCGGAGATATGCGATGGTGAGTTCATTGATGAACGTTACACGACATATAGATGTGATCGTGATCGTTCTGCGACTGGGAAAAAAGATGGGGGCGGTGTCCTTGTGGCTGTTTTGAGGGGGTTGCATTCGGTTCGACTTGTTTCGGGGTTATCTGCATTGAACAATATTGAGCACGTTCTCGTCCAGCTGCCTAGTCCGACTCAGGGCAAATGTCAGGTGCTTGGTGCTGTCTACATACCTCCAAATACAACAGAATTTTTCTATCTTGAATATTTCGAATTGTTGCAGCGCTGTCTTGACTGCCCTGGTATTGAACGGTTTTACTTGTTGGGTGACTATAATTTGCCGGGAGTTGACTGGGTTGGTTGCAGTGATGATATATCGCCACCACTCGGCATGATATGCAGTGGAGGTTCTAGCATTTGTGGACACCTGGCTACCTTTATGTCTATACTTAATGCCTACCAGTACAATACTATAAAGAACAACAACGGAAGGCTGTTGGACTTGGTCATTAGCAATGAGGCATGTTCGATCTATTCACCCTCAGATTATTTACTAAAGTGTGATAACCATCATCCCCCTTTTTGTGTTCTGACATCTCTTCGGTTACCCCAAAACTCTAGAATACGTAAACAAATAAAAAAATACAATTACTATAGAGCTGATTATGACAATATCAACCTTAATTTAAGCAAAATCAATTGGTACGACATCTTGAGCAGTGACAAATCCGTGGATGATAATGTTAACATTTTTTATAACAACATTTTTCAATTAATTAAAGCACACACACCACTGATTAAATGCAGGTCACTGAAATTTCCAATTTGGTTCTCAAAAGCCCTGATACACATTTATAAAAACAAAGCTAAAGCTTGGTGTAAATGGAAAAAATATAATAATCTTGCAGATTATGAGCAGTTTGCATTGTATAGGTCGAGATTTCAGACTGAATGTAAGATCTGTTACACTAAATATATTAATTCTGTTGAGGATGGCATTAGGACGAACATTAAGCACTTTTGGAAATACATATCGAATCGTAAATCCACTACTAGCATACCTTCTAATATGACTTATAACGACCGGTCCTCTGGCGATCCTGAAGAGATATGCAATCTGTTTTCTAGTTTCTTTAACTCGGTTTATGAGGAGTCTACTCTGCATAACATGCATGATAATGCATATAGAGATCGCTCCGAAAGCTGTTCGTTGCTCGGTAACATTGAGTTTAATGTCAATGAAGTACTAAGGGCACTAAAATCATTAGATCTATCTAAGGGACCAGGTCCAGATAACGTCTCTGTAGTTTTTGTTAAGAATACAGCTAAGCACTTATGTATCCCCTTATGTATTATATACAACCAATCCATCTCTCAAGGTGTCTTCCCTACTTTATGGAAGAGTGCAAACATAACGCCAGTTTATAAGTCGGGCTCTCAGCAGGATATCAGGAATTATCGTCCTATATCGATACTGTCTACTCTATCAAAGGTATTTGAGCGGCTAGTCCATGATAAAGTTTATCCCTTCTTTCACAATCAAATAATACAGGAACAACACGGATTCGTAAAAAGAAGGTCCACTACAACTAATTTGGTTGGTTTTGTAGATTATTTATTTAATAATATGGACTCGCGCTTACAGGTCGATTCAATATACACAGATTTTCAAAAAGCTTTTGACAAGGTTGATCACCAACTACTCCTGGCTAAGCTCGCCTTCAATGGTGTGCACGGCGATTTGCTGAGATGGTTTGCTTCTTACGTCTCAAATCGAACTCAGAGGGTTGTTATCAATGGTTATAATTCTGTTACGATAGAGGCAACATCTGGAGTACCTCAGGGATCGATTCTTGGGCCTCTTCTTTTCATATTGTTTATTAATGACATAAACAACTGTTTTAAATATTCCAAATTACTCCTTTACGCAGATGACCTAAAAATTTTTAAAACCATAAAAACCTTTCATGATTGTCAGCTATTACAAGAAGATTTAGTTAGATTTGGTCAATATTGCGATAAAAATAAACTAAAACTTAGCATTCCAAAATGCTGTTGCATAAGTTTCACAAAGAATAAAAAGATTATTAGATATCCGTATTCCCTAAATAATGCTGTTTTGTTAAGAGTGCCCATGGTCCGTGATCTCGGAGTTTTGCTGGATGATAAACTACACCTAGATGCACACATAAGTAAGATTGTCGGCAACGCCTATCGTATGTTCGGGTTTGTGATGAGGTCGTCAACGGAGTTTTTACGCCCAAGTACATACTTATATCTTTATAAGTCTTTGGTCAGGTCTCAGTTGGAGTATGCGGTGCCGGTGTGGAATCCCTTTTATATTAAATATTCAAATAGTATAGAAAAAATACAAAATAAATTTTTAAAAGCTGTTCATCGTCGCTGTTTTCGTGTGCCTGCAAGCTATAATGACTTGCTTAAAAGGTACAAACTCCACGGTCTTCAGACTAGGAGATTAATTTTGGAGACTATGTTTTTGTATGATTTATGTAACAATGCATATGACTGTATGGACATTTCCAATCGAATGCGGTATGTAGTGCCCAGAACAACAGTGAGCCGTGGGGTGCGCTCGAGACCTGTATTCTTCGTTGGCTCATGTCATACTAATGCGGGCTTAAGGGCACCTTTACGTCGCATCGCTGATCAGTACAATAAATATTTTAGCCACATTGATTTGTTCGCAGCGTCTAAAAATAAATTCAGAAACCTTGTCCGGGAATCTGGTAATGATCGGACTCGCTAATTATTTCATAGATAAATTTTTTTTTAAGGTGTTTTTTTTTTATATATCCATAACATACAATGCATATTCATTAACTGTTGTATTTGATTAATTAATGTTATAGCTTCCTTTTTACCGATGTAAAAATTTATAATTTAGGCACATTGTCGACTATGGTTCATAACTGTATCAGTTTTGTTTGTGAATTTATGTATGTAGTGTGCCTACCTAAATTGTACGACTTTTAACTACTTTTTTTTTTTGTATTCTGTGGAGAATGTCGTTGATTATACATTTATTCTATACTTTCATATTTGTTATAATGTATTATTATAGTGTATAATTGTTAATTTTCCCAAATAAATAAAATAAAATAAAAATAAAATAGAAACAATTTATAGCCTATAGCACTCAGGAATATTGCAGCTTTTTGCTGGTAAAAAATTTTTAGAATTGGATTATTACTTCCAAAGATTACCCCTTGCATGCAAACTTACAAATTTTACCTCTTTATAATATTAGTATAGATAGTATAGATTTGATTTGACAAGATGTTTTTCCAAACGTACCAGCAGTAACTATAACGGCTTTCCTATACTGTTTCCCAGTAAGCAGTTCCTTTACTGAACTAGACCGCTGCATCTCCTTCCTTACATCCGACCGCATTTGGGATAACCTCTCTTCAATCATCTATAAAATGGAACAAAAATTTTTAAATCTTTTTAAAACATAATCACATTCGAAATTCAAGAAAATATGATATACCTATAATAGGTATGTAGTAGATTCCTAATTTTTATTTTAATGTCCGTTTGGTAGATATTTTAAATCATTAGACACGCTTTTGTATTTTCTGTCCGTCTGTGCCCTTGGGCACGGGCCCCGAGTGCCCTTTATTTTATAGATGGTGCTGTTTACTATCTCTGTACTGAATTAATCTTTATTTTCTTACCTACATAGTACATTCTAAATAGCTGTGTGACTGTACATTGAGTATAGATTCTACTCCTTGTTAAACATGCAAAACATATAATACAAGGGTAACTATATCACCAAAACTAAACACGATTATAAATACATACCCACTTCTATTTTATTTTTACAGAGTCCCCAAGCGGTCACCGGTTACCGCTCTCCACTTACTCAATTATAGACCTTATTTCTAATACTTAGAGACTACTTTTGTATGAACAAATGTTGTTGATATTTCGTAATCGTGGATTTAGGAATTAATAGGTACAAACCTTTTCATTCTTACTCCCACTGAGTCTCATCAATTCTTTCTTGGCAGCATCCACCTTACCTTCTTTGAGCAAATAATAAGGAGTTTCAGGGATCCTCCAACAGGCGAGGAAGTAGCAAATAGGCATTACTATTAGAAAGTAACTTAACACTTGATAGGATACAAAGGAGCCTATGGCCAGCATTAAGAGAGCTCCGAAACTAAACATAAATCTCGTCCCAGCTGTTAGAGTTCCTCTGATCTCTTTATCTGCTATTTCTGATAGATATACGCTTGTAACCTGCAAAAAATGTAAAAATTGCAGTAAGTAATAATTGTTATTTACAAATGATTAAAACGTAATAAATGTTTTTAAAACTCATTCTAAAAATCTTCAATTACTGCCCCTTCGGAGATTAAACAGTCTGATGTTAAGTTTACGCTATGTAAAGTAAGGAAGGTTAAATGAAAACTGACCGTAGTAATCATGCCAGACCCGAGTCCCCACGAAAACCTCCCGATATATAGCAACCAGGGCTTCGTTGCGTGCAACACGAACGCCTGCAAAAATAGAAAATCACATAGGTACATAATTTATACATTAACTTTGATAGTAAGTTATTACAGAGGCCTTAGTACGAATTTTCTAAGTTCTGAGACTTTCGTACGAGTTTGTTTTAAGTTTAAAGTAATCGTAAAGAGACCGCAATCTGATTGGATGGTTCATTGGAGCCGGCCAATCAGAGCGCTGAACCTCATACTGAGCTCTCAGAACTTAGAAAATTCTGAGTACAAACTATATGTTGCAATAATCTTTTAATAGTGGGAATTTCTCAAGTACAATGACGATGACGCCTATAACAAGAGTCCAGTTTAATCCCTAGATACCGATCATATTAATGTAATTAATTCGAACTTCTTTGATAGATAAGTATTTAAAACGACGCCAATTATTAAATTAGAGGTTTGTCTTAAAGGGCCATGAGAATATTAAACCTATGTAGGTAAATCGTATACTTTTTATATACAATATACTATTATATATATATATTTATCTATCTTCTATCTATACTTATAATAAATCTGTAGAGAGGTCAATTCTGTACATAAAATATATTTAAAAAATAACTATTAAGGGGTGGTTAGGGATCGCTACTGATGCCAAAAATGCAATCAGTAAAATTTTTGTCTGTCTGTCTGTCTGTCTGTCTGTCTGTCTGTATGTTCGTTATGGAAATAAAAACTACTCGACGGATTTTAACGAAATTTGGCACAATTATTCTTCATACTCTTGGGCAGGTTATAGTATACTTTTCATTACGCTACGATCAATAGGAGCAGAGCAGTGAAGGGAAATATTGGGAAAACGGGAGAAGTTACTCCATTTTTTAAGCTTCCGTCGCGTGTGCAGGCTTAATAGTTAAAGCTACATAGAAATCATGTATGAC